GACTAATGTTGCGCCCAGTAGGTAGTGGTGGTTGTGGTGGTGGTGTTGGTGTCTGTGTTGGATAGTTGTTGTTATTGAGGCTATTCCTTAGATCCATATATGAAATGAAACTCGAAAAACAAGTATAGTTTTGAGCACCGATTTTATTTTTATTTATGGAAATCACGGAATTATATGTTGTTTTTTTTATTTATAACCCTTTAATGTACAGACAGTATTGTATAGCACCTGAAAGATCTTCGAAAAACTTTTATTTTTATTTCAATTTTTTATTTTCTAACAATTCCCCAATAGTAAAATACTATAATTTTAATGTTTATGAATATTAAGCTAATCTATCGTAAAATCTGGTTTAAAGTCTTACCTGCACAGTGTATCTAAAAATATAAAATACATTAATGTCTACTATTTTTATAATGTGATTATTAGTCTCTCGGAAAAATATAAAGATATAAGTGGTTAATATGTTTATGAACAATTTTTACGGTACAGCAAAATGTGTTTCTATTGAAATATAAATTATGAAAACTCTTTTTTGATTTCATAGATCACTGACTCTTTAGGAAAAATGCAATTTTCGAGTCCAATAATCGCACGATTATTCTCGCCTTTATTTGTGAAGGAAATTATAAATGGATTTATAATTGACTCCTGTTTTCACACAATTAATATAACATAATTATTTATTATTGTTTATTATGAACCCTATAAAATTTATTTCCATATTGTGTGCATAATTTAGTTCTCCATTCTATCATAAGTTTCTTGTAATTTATATTAAAATTTAATGTTTTGTGAACTATTGTATTAAAACGGTTATTATTTACAGTATATAACGATTATTAGTTTTTTATTTAATGTACTATAAGACTGAACCAGGAATATTGTACACAATTATTTTGACGGTAAGTGTAACATTAATTAAATGTTATTCATATTCATTAATCTATTCATTAATCTAATCATTAAATTCTTTGTGTGAATTCAGACAACACATTGAGAGGTGCTTTGAATACAATTTGAATACCCAATGACTACTGACGCTATCAGTGATCAGTCAAACACATGTCAGGCATTGAGAATCGATATTAACCTTAAAACCTGCGAATCGGCCCTGAATTTCATTAAATGCCTCCTAACTAAACATATGAAGAATTTAACCTTACATTCAAACTAACGTTCATTTGATATAAAGTGAATAATAAAACATATTTTCGAGACTAATACAGTATTTTAGTCAAGTACACAAATGTTTAACAGAAATATAATACATAGAATACTTAGCATATCAATGACCTCTCAGACGGGGATATCATTGCAATTCTCAACATTTTTATGATAGTCTAATGATATGTCTCAGAGATTCTCTGCTCGGATATCAGAGACTGTTTAGTCTAATATCAAATTCATGACTAAAATACTCTGAGAGAAAATTATTAATTAAATTCACTATTCATTGACATAAGAATAAGTTTCAATCAAAATTTTACTGTATTTGAAGTCAAAAGGAAAACTATCTTAAATATTTCAGACAATAAAAACTGTGGGAAAATTAATTCATTTTCAATGACTAATAATTTACAAATATAGTTATTATAAATAAACAAGTAATAATAAGTTATTTTTGTGTTATATATTATTTTTATTAATATTTTTAAAATCAAATATCAAATAAATACAATCGGTTTTCATCAAAAATGTGGACCAATTATTTCAAAAAATTATCGTTTTGATGACATCATATATACATTAATATTGATTTTATATGTCTATTGTTATTTGTTTCATAATTTTTTCAAATTTCAATTTATAAGTAGAATCCTTTTCAATATTTGCAAAACAATTTTTAATGTCATTAATATTTGTTTGGACACCCCTTTGATAATTGTATAACCTTTTTTAACAAAATTGTTTAATTTAATTGTTTTTAAAAAAATATAATAAAGCATTAAAAATATTTTTTTATCATTTAGTTGTAACATTAATTGTCAATTAACTACACTTGTACTGTATTACTATTTATATAATATCTTTAAATTTAAATTAATAATAATTTATACTTACTAAACACATTAAAGTACCATACAGTACTAATAAATCATTTTTAAAATGTTATTTATATACGTATTCATTCATTATTAGTATACAGTAAAAACAACTTGATTAAATCATTATTAGGAAATAAACTGTATTAATATTAACCAATCAATATATTTTTTGAGCTTCTTGATAAGAAAATAATTGCACCATGAGCTTATAACATAATAAATGTATAATGCTGTTAAATAATAAAAATAAAACCAGTTAATCAAACATAACGTATTTAATTAAAAAATAGGTTTTATATATACAATTATAAAATTAATATTAATTAAACTTTTAATTTTATACAACCACATGTTTGATTATGAATCTTATAAATCTACGTTGTTTAATATTACATTGTTATACGTGCATAGTAAATATGATTTACTGTAAACTATAGGGATTAGGTTCACACTTGATTGCATAATAATGATACGTTAATCCCAATAATTATTAAATCATATTCACACTTCAATTGAAACATCAGATAATAATATGAACAGGGCCCAGATAAATAGTTTATAACTTACAATGCACCATTGTTAAATGGGAATTTATTTATAATATTAAGTTTAAAAATTAAATTAATTTTTAAAAATTATTTATTGGTAAATATTTTGTGGTTATAGATTAATTATTTTTATAAAAGATTATACAGATTTATAAAAAAATATTTTGATCGATTAGCTTTAATTATATAAAAACCAAGCTAATATACTAGCTAACTCCATTGTAAGTTATAATATTTTATCAAGTACATGATTATGTAACAACAATTTTAAATATTATATAAATATGAGCCAAAAGTATTTATTTTAAATCATAAGTTATTTAATACAATACTAAAGTAATTTATTAATTTGATTGAAGCATTCACCATGAACCATTTAGTTATTGCTATATTTTTAGGTTTGTATATTATAAAGTTTATATAAAATATATCAAAAATAAAACAAATTTATTTTATATATTATATAAATTATTAAAAACAACGTTAATATTAGCCTAAAATATTAAAATATACCTTAGTAAATTGCTAAATACTAAGGTATATTTTAATATTTTAGGCTAATATTAAAGTTGCTTGCTGCTAAATTGCTAAATGTAATAATTAATATACATTATAAATAAATTTTCAATTATATTGTTGCAGCTATTACAGCTACCGTAGCGTGTGTGCCATTACCAAGCTCAGCCATTGAATGTCACCTACATCATTTAGTGGCACCGTGCGCGTGCTACAACCCGCTCGAAAACCACATAATTGTGGGTTGTCAAAATGACGACCTGGACGATATTGGCATTAGAAACATGTTTACCTTATTGAAAAAAAAGTTTATTTTTGATACAGTCGAAGCCGTATACATACGCTCACCAACTGTCACGTATTTGTACGAAACACTATTGTCCGGTATTCGCACCAAGAGCATCTACATCGAAAATATGTACTCGCTGAAAACCATCGACATGAACGCCTTTAATGGGACCGAAGAGCTTGTACAGCGTCTGGAGATCCGAAACACACCGGTAGGTCAACCGCTTGGCCCTAAGCACCATATGCTCAAGATCATCGATAAGATGGATAACTTGGAGCACGTGATCATTAGTAATACTAGCCTTAAAACAGTGGGTCAATTCGCATTTTCTAATAAACAAAAATTACGTGAAATTCGAGTGACCGGGAACAAAATTAAACGCATTGAACCTTTTGCATTTCAACACCTGCCACAATTGAGCGTGCTTGATTTAAGCAACAACACCATAAATTATATTGGTACCAGAGCATTTGTCCTGAGTCTTGAACCTACCCCCGATGCTAAGGAACTGGAACTCCGGTTAGACAACAATGAACTGAATGATAGGTCATTTGATGCGGAGTATGTGTTTGATGGTACTTATGGTACTAGTTTTAAACGCCCAGTATGGTTGGTATTGGATGGTAATCATTTGATTAAGACATTGAGCGAGGACACATTTATGCCGTACTTTAATGCCAACCCAATGAATATAATAACAGTGGATATAGATTGCGGCGATTGCAGTAACTATTGGTTAGTGTCCGATGCTGTCGATGGTAAGCATACCCCAGAGATCAGGTGTTATGACGACAATAAGGATATAAAGTCCCATGATTGGTCATGGTGCTAACTTTAAGAAATTAATTCATTTCAATTGTATTATGAATTTAATTTCGAATAAAATAATTTCAAGCATATTTAGTTTTGATTCATTTATATATACATTAAATATATGAAGTTTACCTGGCTAAACATCTTGAATTATGTTACATGAACACTTTTAATGTACTGTATTACATGAACACTGTAATTGTGTTATACATAAACTATTCCGGATCCAAATCCGAAAGTTATAAACAGTTTAATGTTAAAACATGTACTTAAGAAATATGCTAAATTTTGTTAACATTCAAGTTTAATCACCAGTTTTAAAAGGTTCAGGTGATCAGCAATCTATTACTAAGTAAATCGTTATTTGATTATCAAAAATGTATGTGAAATGCCTTTTTCCTAAAATAATTGTTTTAACGTTTAAATTGCAATTCTCAACATTTTTATGATATTCTAATGATATGTCTCAGAGATTCTCTGCTCGGATATCAGAGACAGTTTAGTCTAATATCAAAAGCACGACTAAAATATTCTGAGAGAAAATTATTAATTAAATTCACTATTCATTGACATAAGAATAAGTTTCAATCAAAGTTTTATTTGAAGTCCGAGTGAATTGTTGTCAAAAGGAAAACTCTCTTAAATATTTCAGACAATAAAAACTGTGGGAAAATAAATTCATTTTCAATGACTAATAGTTTTCAAATATAGTTATTATAAATAAACAAGTAATAATAAGTTATTTTCGTTATATATTATTTTTATTAATATTTTTAAAATCAAATATCAAATAAATACAATCGGTTTTCATCAAAAATGTGGACCAATTATTTCAAAAAATTATCGTTTTGATGACATCATATATACATTAATATTGATTTTATATGTCTATTGTTATTTGTTTCATAAAGCACATTAAATTCGTAATATATTTATTGCAATCATAGTATATTTAATGGTTTATATTGTATGTGTATT